GCTCCCTAATAGGCTGTAATCGGCCCCACTGTTTCTCCTAATGTGGCAGATGGCACAGCCGCCCACGCCACATCCGCTGCGTGGTCAGTGGACCTTCGCGTGGCACGCGCCGTCGCCCCTGTCGAGTGGCCGGTGCGGCGGACGCGTGTCTTAGCGCAGCGAACGCGCGCTCTCTCTCAGGACACCCTGGGTTACACGAGCGGTGGATGCTCCTTATTGGCGTATACGGAATTCATTCAGCGCAGCGTTCATTGCGAGTGGTGTTCCAGACACTTCTCTGCGGTGCTTGCTGTCGTGCAGTCGATACAGGCTACCGTACTCCTTTCCCTGTCGGCTGCACAGAAGCGCTGAAATAGCAATAGCTAGCTATCACAGTCGGACAGATAGAACCCTGGTATTGGCCCTGCTCATGTCTCAAGTTTTAGTGACATCTCCAAATGGGTTTGTTCTCAGAAAGATACCTCTTGCTATTTTCTTGTATCGCAGAAGGGTATACATGGGGTCAGTTCAACCTTTCATTAATCCCGCGTTGTAACTCTCTTTTGCCCAGCAAAAAAAAAAAAAGAGAAGAAGAATGAAATTTGTACCAAGTATCGCGTGGCAGAGAGCTTTACCGGCAATTGCATCGATTATGTGTGCAGGCGTCAGTGTTCAAACATCTCTGCATTTCAATTATTAAAGCAAAACTGTCGTGACTGTCCTTCCTATACAATGCGCAAGAAAAATAACTCATGATCGCTCTAGTTAGAATTGGTCACAGACCGATTATGGCACGATCCATAATGCAGTGTCCTCCGAAGAGGTCTTGGCGGATGGAAGTGACGAAGGCAGTGCTGAAATTCTTGAAGCCTTTAGACAAGCTTGCACTAACAGTTCTATTGTGACTGTGAGGTGAGCGACTTTGTGTGTGTGTGCTCCCTTCTCTCCACCTTTGCCTCTTTCTTTAGCACTGTCCTGCCGCATGCCTCAGTATCGTATTTCATACCGGTTCTTCTATAGACTGGTTATAACGTCGCTGTCTTTCCTTTACTGTTCTTTCCATGATTATTTGAGAAGAAACAAAGAAGTTTTGGGCTCTTATCACAATCTGACGTGGGTGACTGATACAGCGGTAGCCCCTCATCTGAATATGAAACAGTTCAAGCCTTTTCATGCGAAGCATGATCGTAGTGTTTAGAAAGAACTCCACGTCTGAAAAGCCCGCTGACCAACAACACTCGGCAAAAATCAGAGCCATATGTGCGAGTGCCCATCAATTCAAGGAAGGCTGGTACTCCCTTATTTGAGAGAAAGCACACTCACGGTTGGTGCTTCCGCCTGTAAAGCTACGCATACCACAGTGAAGTTGCGTGTCGTTGAAGTTTCACAGTGGAATTGCGAAAGATCAATGGAGTGTACTTGAGGGTTGTTGAGTGCCGGTGAATTTCAATGTGGCAGTTTATTACGATGGGCAAGTTTGTAATGTTGCGGCGCTAAGTAAGGCTTTAATGACAATACATGCAAACGCTTTACTTCTAGAACACACAATATTATTTGAGGCCCAAATCGGGATATCAGTATGAGGTACGCTGTAGTGGAGAGTTTTGGAAATCTCGACCGCCTGGTCATGCACTGATATAGTACAGTACAAGTGCCTGTAGCGTTTCGCCTCCATAGAAATGCGACCGCCGCAGTCAGGATTGAACCCAAAGCATTGGGATCAAAAGCCGAATGTCGTAGCCAACGTACCACTAAGGAGTCCCGCCGTGGTGGTATAGTGGCTAAGGTACTCGGCTGCTGACCCGCAGGTCGCGGGTTCGTATCCCGGCTGCGGCGGCTGCATTTTCGATGGAGGCGGAATTGTTATAGGCCCGTGTGATAAGATCTGGGTGCAGGTTAAAGATCCCCAGGTGGTCGAAATTTTCGGAGCCCTCCACAATGGCGCCTATCATAATCATATGGTGGTTTTGAGATGTTAAACCCCACATATTAATCAATCAATCAATCAATCAATCAATCGGCGTACCACCTATGTGGACTCTATGAACACTTGAGTATAACTTCATTTCACTTTCGTGGCACATTACACAGTGCCACTCTGGTGTGCCATCATAGCTGTATGACAACGGCTAAGCATAAACAAATATTATCATAAAACGTGCTTTCTTTGAAAGCGAAGGCTCGTCAATATTAACCTATAAAAAATAACGACATTAACCGTTAGAACGACGAACTTCAGGCAGCTCCTTCAATTAAGCACAGGGAGTGTGACTGTTGCAGCTGATCGAATAATGGCCCACACCGATAGCATCACCTGACTTCCCTCCTACGGTTCAAACATAAAGGCTTCGCTTAAAGGAAACGTTAATGTAGCAGAGCACTGAGGAGAATGATGTCATACGTCTACCTATAGAGTGACGACCGAAATGTTGGGTGTGTTAAGTACTCACCGTAGACGACTAAATAGACAGCTTAATGGACGGTGGCCATCTTAAATCTCATTCCAATTTTCACGTAGCTGGCAGAATAGACAGCTCCGAGAAGACGGCATCGTTGACAAAAACGATGCTGGGTATACTTTGCTGTCTAAACAAGATGACGACTTAGCAAATCTCTCGGATAGATCAAATCTCGCCGGAATGGTCGTCTGCACACAAGCAGACGCTTCTCCGGGCGCTCAATGTGAGTAACGTTAATTTTTTTTAGATTTCAAGATGAAATAAGGTAAAAACTAAGAGTTACATTTGTTTATTTTAAGCCTTCTGTTCTCGACGCTAGCTGGCGCCTCGTTGCGTAGAAGCCGTCCAGACGTGTTCCAATACTCGGGCAGCATGGGTTCGATGCTATCTTCTAAGCTGTCAGCGAGACTGTCTGCGATGCTGTCTAAGAATCGGAACAGAGCCATTGGCGGAAAACGCACTGTAAACACGCATGCACATAAAATCACGTATACGCGTGCGCCACCTGTGAGGACCATCGTAATACCACCGCGGTTTTTTCGTCGATTTCCCGAAAGGGGCAAAAACGTTCACAGGTTTGGGATGGAGATTGAAGTAAGCAACGCGATTCTCGTGATTTTTTTTATTTCCTATTTTCTCTAGCAAAACGTGCAGTTGAAGTATTTATACCTCCCTTACACGTTAGATTAGTCAGAGGCCCGCAGAACACAATTTATTTGATCGCCAAGCACAGTACTCATTGAATCAGAGCTGTGCTCGACATTCTTTTTTTTTTTTTTGTCCGCATGGTGCGTCCACATGCATGCAGACATTCGTGGCAGCTTCCCTTTGCTTCTGCAAACTTGCCCTTCTTCTTCCACTTACGCGGTGCAGAATCAAAGACCACACGTATATAAACTTCGTTAACATCTCTGCGTTATATCACCCGTTCGTTCCCCTCTTCATGTCACGCAACTTGATTCCATTTGACATTCAAAATGTTTTGTAGTTTGCAACATTGCGATGAGCATAAGCGATGTGTCCAATTTTCGTTAGTTGAAACCAGGCTGGCAGTAAAAAAAGGGACAAATTCACTTTTTAGTAGGGTGTATCAATTGTAAACGACATGAAGAACAGCCATTGACATAAACTTGTTCTTGAATAACTGGACTAATTTAAAAAAAGGACTCTATGCCTCCGTTTTGCGGGTTCGTCTACCACCAGCTGCAAATGGTGTTATTATTATTTTTCGCTTGCGACTGGCCATCATTTGAAGACTTTATCTAAAGCATCAAATATTTTACACAAATTTTCTGGCTTTCTGGATCTGTTAGATATACATCGCTGCAATTTGTATCAGATTTACTCGTACGAAAATCAATATACCCGCCAACACGCACTTAGTCAGTAATTGTAAATCATGATAATGGAAACAAGAAATAAAAAAAATATTTGGCATGTGCGGAAGAAATGCGTGTCATTAGTATCTATTTTGTGGCTTAGCTTTCCTGTTTGTCATATACATGCAACGCATGAAAACCAAGATTTACACATTTCTAAACGGACGCATGGCGTGAATTCAGTTGTGAACAGTGACAGAGGACGAACGGTGAAAAGGCAAATTAAGGGAGTGCTCTCAGTTTTTTGACGAAGGCGAGATCTTTGGGTGGTCCCTAGAGATAAGCTTGAAGTTAACTCAGTGCACTGAGAAATAATTAAAGTGTATGAAAATGATCTCGATACCGTCTGCGGTCTGGAAGCAACATTTATATGAACCAGCTAGCCAAAATTACGACATAATCAAGGTCACAAACACCAAATGAGATTGAATTCCGGCAGCATCGCTGATGAAAATAAATTGGTCTTGCCATGTGAAGACGTTGCGTATTTCACGGCACACACTTCATTCAGTTGGTCGATTATTATTACTTGACGTGCTGTTTTACAAACAAATGCATGCAGAAGGAGTTGTCGTATTGTGTGGACTGTGAGACCTGCATACGAATACGTATTACGAAGTTGCGTTGGCAACAACGATGGCAAACAAGCGATTGCAATTACAAGGCGGTATATCATGATATCAAAATACTATGAACGGAAACACGCGTATGCATCCATATGTATATATAGACGGTTACTGTAATGCAGTGAGAAACTACGAATACAAGTGCGCAATGTGCGCTAACAGCAAAGCAGGCATGGAAGCAAGCAAACCAGCAAAACAGTATTTCTGTTCAAACGAGAGTCCAGGAACGTTCTTTTTGTCTTTGTGAAACTCGTGTTTGTGGAATACGCACCGCATTTGAGGATGTTACGACAGGAGAGAGGTGGATTGTACTAGCGTAGGGAGTGAGTTAGGCCGCCACAGGAAAGCTCAAAATGGAGGAGGAGGCGAAGAGCGACGGCGGTCCGCTCGTGTTTCGACAGCCGCGTCGCTTCTCCCCCCAGCTGTGTGCTGTGGTGCGCGGCAGCCACTAGATAGGAGGCGGCGAGGGGGACCAGGGCGGGCTGAGAGCGCTCGGGCGTTCCCGGAGGAGCAGGCGCGACCAGCGGCAGTGTGGCCGTGATTAGGCAGCGGCTAGGATGCCCCGGTCCTTCCTGGTGCGTCGATGCGGCAGCTACGCGCGATGGCGGGCAGCCGTCCGGGCGCTCGCGGCCTCCGAAGACTCCCTGCGCCCGCCCAGCCAGAACAGTGAGTAGCCGCACGTGTTACTCTATTACGCACGAGCACGTGGTCTCCGGTAGCCCGTTGCATGAATGTCATCTCTGACTGGATGGGCCGGTGGAAAGATGCGCTGGGTTTCTCATCGACGTCGCTGTGATAGATGCGCGTCGCTCAGAAATCTCAGCCGAATAACATGGTCGCCATCTCCCCAGCCCTACTTAATATTCAACATGCGGCCCCGTCACGATCACCCCTGTAGACTAGTAGACACCTTTGCGAAATGAATCAGCACGAAAGACAGGACGGAAGATACAGATCGAACCACAAGACGAGTGCTGATCATCAGCCCTCGCCTTGTTCTACTGAGATTTTCATCTTATCTTTCGTGCTGATTTATTTCGCAAATCTCGCACCAACTTGCCCAGACGAAAGCGCTAGTAGACACCATCTGTAGACCACCTATGGGCCCGAATGGTGTCGCTGCGACGGTCGTTTATTTCTTTTTGGAAACTGATAACTGTGTGGTGATCTACATTGTTTTCATTTCATAGAGGAATATAGCCATCTTGCGGGGACTGCAAGCTAATGTATTACTGACATTATTCGCGACAGCAATCAGCAGCAGGGAGCAATATATCTGACGTTATTCATGACTGTCTCTTTTTTTTTATTTGTTCTTCCATCTAGTTCCTGCCCGCACGAATAATCATAGCGACGTACCAACTGGCCCCCATAGAAACTTTACTTCTGGTGTTAGTGAACCTTGCCTTCGTGATTTATGCTAATACATTGTTACTTTGTGATTCTCACCTAACATTACGATCGGTGCAACGTAGGCATGCAATGCCATGCAATGCTACAAAGAAAAGTTGCACCTCAGTATTGTAAGAGTCGCGCTACTTTTTTTCTTTTCAGCTCTTTGCTTCCCCGTTATTCTTCCCACGTCAATTCAAATGACTTTCATGATAGACTTCCATGCTTGAGGACTCCAAATATATTCGCCTGGTGTCTCTCAACCATTCTTTACCCCGTTTTTAGTAAGAAAAAAAACGGAAGTAAGTCTCATTGTTTTTTTTCAAGCTATAGATTGATTATAAGTTCAAGTGTTTAATGAACGTTCAATGATTACATGAGGCTAAAGTTGTTAACACGGCTTCAATTGGATGCTAGTGAGGGCACACCACTAAAAGAAGAAAAACAAAAGTTTCTTAGAGGCCACCAATTAAGGAATTGTATTCGAAAAAGCATGTTACGCTAAAATTGTTCGTAGGAGGAAATTCCGACAAACTCATTTTCATCGATCAATCCAATCAACAAATGTACTTGATTTGTTCAATTCAGTCTCTGCTGAAAACTATAAGTAATGAGTGATTTTAGCACTTTTGTGCACATCGTTCCCTAAACAGCGTTTGAGGTCACAGATGGTATGCATTTGTGCGTTGTTGTACCCCAACGTCCGCGCACTCATACAGCCAGCCGTGGTGCTTAAGCGGCAACAATGTTGAGCTTCTTTGCACGCGGTGTATACCGGGTTTCATCCCGGGCCACGGCCGCTTCATTTCTGTGGGGGCGAGACGTGAAAACACACCGTGTACACGCTTTAGGGAAACGTTGATGAAGCCCAGATGGCAAAAATGAACCCGCAGTCCCCTTTTACCTCGTACCCTGTAATTATGTCCTGGTTCTGACAGCCAAAATGACATGAGAAGGATTGACAGATGGGCTAGTTGATGGCCATACTTGAACATTTTTGACACTGCGCAACGAAAACATCGGCGAAGAGACAAAAAAAGTAGAGACCACAGCGCTGATCCACAAATGAATGTTTATTAAAAAAGCACATGAAAGAAGTCTAATTTATTGAAGTCGCATGCGTGTGGGGGGTATAGTAGCCCTTTTTGCTTCCTCTTTCATACCATTTTAATAAACATTTATTCGCAAGTCAGCGCCGTGGTCGGTCCTTCTTTTCTTTTTGTCCGCGTCGTCGTTTCGCTGTGTCGAAAATGTTCGAGAAATGCCCCAATTTAAATTCAAAATCAGCGCGCGCTCCTGTAAGATGTTTCTGCGGAGATGGTTTTTCCCTGATCTGTGATACTGTGATCTTAGCACGCACGACCTGCTGGTTTTGCAGAACGCTGGTTTTGCCCTGTTAGAACGATCACTGTCGTTCTTTTTTTTTCTCACAATGTCTTCCTGGAGCCAATGATTACCACGCTGCACATTAAAGTGAGCGCATTTAGTTGCAGCTCTTGCCTTTCAACGTTTTGCAGTGCTTTTAATTGAATACTGATGCAAAGTGCGGGAAAATACTCTGCAAATCTTTTCTTTTTTTTAGTTTTCTTTCATTTGAGGGGAGCCTTATTTGTGTAGCGAAGATAAAAATGATCAACAGGCTTTAGAAAAACGTGAAAAATTCTTGCAAGTGTACATTCAATTACGACTGATACAGTTCAGCACAAAATCTAAGAAGCAAGGGTCACTTTTCGGTTGTAAATAAATGCTCATGATGTGGAGCCTGCAGTTGCAATGATGACGTAACTGATGTTTAAAAAGGTTGTCTATTCACACTTTAAGTCGCATCGAGCACTCCTTTCGATCAAATCACCATAGTGCATGTTGAGCTCAAGAAGAATACATAGGGTGCGAGTTTATAAGACTTCATTTCCTAACTAAAATTTTGCTGATGCCCAGGTATCGTTGCAGAAGAACGCACCAGGGCTCATCCTGTCTTCTTCGGTTTGATGCCTTGTCCTGAGCGCTGTTTCATTTCCCGAAACCACCATGTTGAACATTCACTCGACCTCAGTGTTGTATCTGACTTTGTGCTGGTGTGTTCATCGGACTTTTTGTCATGACTTGTTGTGACATATTTCAAGAGGATGCCAGAAAAGGTGGTCACGAATCACATTCTGGACGGGAATTTAGCTTTTGATTAGAAGATCTGTAAAATAGAACCACTAAACACAATATACGGCGCAAGGCCAACCACTCTGATACCTCTTCGGCAGGCAGTTTGATCTCTTTGCTTTAATTGTCTCCCAGGAAAACGAATTCGTTGAAAACACATGCACAGCTACATAAATAATTATTCTTGCGAAAAAAAGGGGGTGACACTCTCCGAGTGTTTTTGCTCTGCAACGCTCATCAAGTGCTTGCACACACTGAAGTGCTACCGGGACATCTCTTCTTCAGCGAAGCGATTTGTTTTTTTATGTAATATTCTGTAGTACACAGACCTCTCTTAATTTCTGGCATAGTCAATGAAGGGACGGTACTGTATTTCTGTCTTTTGAATCAGCTGCAAAAGTTTTCCGCCTGCGTCTTCAATTAAGACAAAGCGTCTGTGTCAAACGCATTCTGCTAGTTTAACAGCAAAAGATACTTCGCTTGCACCGGAGCATCGCGCATGTAACAAGAAGTAGATTGAACATTTCTAAGGAGAATGTTGACGGAAGACCTCGGGCTCTGCATCACATCGGTGCCCTGGTTTTACATTCATAGGAACTGTAAACCAGCTAAGGCACAACTTTTTTTCTAATAGCAGTCGTCATTATTAATGTTCGCTTTACCGTTCTCAGTGAATCCTGCGTGCACCTCCTGCCTGCGACGAGTCATGCACGTTCAAGCATGTCATCCTGACAGAAAGCAACTTTTCGCACATGGTTAAGGATAAAAAATGGGAGACGTAAATTGGTAAATATTGTTAGAGAAACGTCCAAATAATTCCTTCAAAAACATGCAGGCCGCAGAAAAATAAGCAAGGCTATATAGAGAAGTGTGCGTGGCAAGCTGAGAGGGCTAGAGTAGCTGCCCTAAGCGACAAGACTTTAGCACTCACAGACCACTCTACAAAGAAGCGTTTGTTATAATTCTGCTTTTTCGGCGAAATCAACAATAAAGTGTAAGTTAGGTGGAAAATATTTGAACAACAAGTAGATTACCGTTTTGATACATTTAGTGTGCGAGCACTTCTCACAGGACGCTCCCAGATTAAATATTGTCAAAACGTCCCTATAGGATAGCTCACACCGCTCTAACAAGTAGAATTTGACACTATACTAGTGAAGATACTCTGTGTAAAAAGCAACCATCTTTGCTTAGCATTATTTGTTGCAGGATCATAAGGGGAATAAACTTAAAATGGTATTCGTTTATTTATCTGCTATGAAATATGAAGTTGCTGCTAATCACAAGAAGTGTGATGATTGTTTTAGAAGGTTTAGTGAAGCTTCTAGGTAACTGGGGTACTTTTCATGAACGGGACTTCGTGCAACTAAGCTTTTAATACAATTAGCGGGCTTTGTAAACTTCGCTCACTTCGCTGACGGTATATGCTACAACCTTATCATGGTCAATGTGATGGCTTGGGTTTCTATAGGTAAGCGCTGGCTGCTCGCTTGCTGAGTATGTGACAGGGACGTCTGGGTATGTACCCCAAGAGGAAGTTAGCTGCTTCTTTTTGCCTGGCCTATGTATACGTCACTTTGGTCCCTGAGTATGTGCTACAGGTCTTGGGCAGAACGTACAACATACGTTGGTGAAGGGTATGTTCCCGTTCTTAGCGAGAAGCTTGCTTTGTAAATAACCCCAAGACCTCATCGTGGTTGCTACCGCCACTCCATAACTGAATATATCCCTGAATTATCCCTGACTGATCAAAGAATAAAGCCCTTGACAACTGTATTGCCGAATACGACGCGCTAACCTGAACGCCACCATCATCTATAGGCGCTTCAGTGCATGTCGGACTCCAAGAAAGGCCGGTTATTCAAAACAGACTAAACAGGAAGTCATTCAGCTTGCCTCACTGAGCTCCTCTAACGCTAGTGAACCACTATTGAACCGCTAGTGATCCTGTTAGTGAACCACTGCCAACCTGCAACCGCGCGGCGAGTTGAGCAAGTTCGTATGCGTTCCTGTTTTAAATTGAGGATGGAGCACCGTGAGGGCTGTCTTGTCCACTTCCACTGTCCGGGTCTTCGGTGCCATTTATCCTAATTTTGATAAAAGTCACCCTATAAATCTTC